TAGTGATGTATGCATTACCCTGTGGCCAGCATCTACTGTAAGTCAACAACAACCTTAAGATAAAATAGGTCAGACACACGAGGAGAGGAAAAATGGATGCATTGGGCTTGGACAAAACTTGTCCTTGGAGTTTCCCTGCGTTGTGTGTATCTGTGTGTACTTTTGAGCGGTCTTGCTGTGGATTTTTTTTCTGGAATCGTAAGCTCGAGGACGAGCGCAGCATAAGTTGGTGATGACCAGTGCCAAACACCCTCCTCTTTCCCCCTCCCTCTCAGTGTACAGAATCTAACAATGCACTTTAGCCAATTACAAACAAGACTTTACACATTTTTAAAAGTCATTTTCTCCCCGCTTCTTTTTTTACTTTTTGAAAATGTTATTTTGCATGCTACAGGTGGTTGAGTTGCCATAGGTTCAGAAAACAATTCGCTAACAATCACTCACTGTTCTGAACCCACAGTGGTACAGAGGCTCTACATTACTGCACTTCTGAATGGACCATGTATTATTTTCTGTTTATTACATGCTTTGGATCACACTGCATGCTGACACGGCCGGCCTGACCCCATAAATACAAACATATGCTCCAGCACCACGAACGCACACATTTGCTCAGCTGTTCTTAATCGACTCAAGCACAGTACATTCTGTGTTTCCACCACTGTCCTCTCACCTCAGGCATTTCTCGTGTCACTCATGAAGACAGACTTCAGCAAGTGAGCACACATGCAGTGTCACTCTCTGACCAAATGATTCAGAAACTTCTGCACTGACTGTACATAAGCAGTTTTCTCTTTTTCACCTCCACGTTTCTTCTTTGCACTACGTCACACAGCAGCATCTGTTTTATTCTTTCTATAGTCTTCTTAGCACTTCAGTGTTTTGAACGGTCTTTCCCTGCAGGGTTTTAGCTGGAAAAATGGGTTCTAATAAGTCAAACCGTTTCACTGTTTAAAGGGTTTACTCCTATCCTGTACTATTAATTTATCCCACGTCCTTTTAATTTTTACGATCTATCAGTTAAAAGTATTAATTTGTATATAGCCAACTTTGTGAAATCACCGTATTGCTGTAGTCACTGTTGAAATGCAATGCAGCCATGCTGTTTCTTCAGTTGTCACAATAGAAATCAATTCTCTTCTGTTCTGTTCAGTTGACTGTACTGTCTGTAAATAGATCAAATAAATGTTTTAAAGGTTGAACTATTTGTAGAGCCTCATGTGAGTGGCCTCCTTTCTTTTCTTAGATTTTCAATAATATTGAGCGTGTCCCACAGATTTATCCTCAGCCCTTCTGTGCATGGAGGCACTGGGCTGGGATCTGTGTTTACATGTAGTTTTTTTTAAATCTTTTTTTATTGAACTATTTTCTATCTTTATATCCTGATCAAAACTTAAAGGTACATTTGGAAGATCATATTTCTGTACTTTAAGTTTATTTTTATTTGTTTTAATAAGGTATATTTACGTTGTTGTTTGTACTTGTACTTAAGTCAAGAATCTGAGTACTTCTTCCACCACATGGAATAACTGCCCGAACTAAAGCAAACATGATCTCAAGTTATCAGACTCACATTTATCAACAGTTATTCTATTTTGAAATCTTTTTTCAATTCCAGCTAAGAAAATGTGATGGATTCTTATGTTTATTTTGACCTCTGACCAACTTATTCCATCTGTACAACCTCTCTCCTGTTTATCTTACTTGATATTCCTCTCCTTCTCTCTCTGCTGCCTCTTCTGTGTGTGTGTGTGTGTGTTTGTCTGTAGGACAGGGCTTTTGTTTTGGGGTACAAAGGCTTTTGGGGGTACTGGGCTATTAGCTATGCATGGGTTCCTCTCTGCTCAATGCCTTGTTAGGCAATCTTTGTCATGCTGGGCTCTTTGGTAGCTCACAAAGAAAACTAGGTTCTGTTTCCTCCTCGTCCTCACAGACACACACATACTCATTTCCACTTTAGACATACATAGTCACGTACAAACACAGAACATCTATATCTGTATGTGTCTTTTGCATCACATGATGATCTTATTCTGCAGCCCTAGTTTTCATTAGAATAAGCCTTCAGTATTGTCTGGTTGTTTTTGTCGTGTTTGTGTTTCCTCTGGGATTGACATGTGACAACAGCAGAAACTGTATTTAACTGATCCATATAATTAAGCAAAACATTTCAGTGCCATGACAATGTCAAAAAAACAAGGATCTTTATTTGTGAATACAGTGGATATTTCAGTCATCTCCTTTGTATGTATTATAACATTTTCAGATGTGGATCACACAAAGACCTTTTGGAGGCCATAACATTTATTTGTTCAAATACAGTTCACTAAAATCCTGTTGAAAATCATTATTTTAATATCCCAAAAGTGCTGAGATTCCTTCAAATGAAACCAGTCTCTGGGTGTGATTATTGTTTTCATGCCGCAGGAGCCAGTGAGTTATCTTATTGCTGCTGTAATTGCATGGGGAAACCTTGTTCACAGAAGCTGTTATATGAATACCGTTTTTGGCTTGATGTTCCAATTCACTGGCTGTTGCTGGGGACACTGCCAATGTCCACTGGCCAACAAAATAATTAGTGCATCATCACAATTCAGCTTCTCATCTCAAATGGCCCCATCTGCTGGTGAGAGAAGGCATACAAAAATGGACAGAGAGAGGAATGGAAGGAGGAAAGGAAGGAAAGAAAACATTTCCTCAGCTGAGCTAAGGCAAACTAGATTGCAGTGTATTCATTATATTGAACTGTAGTTACTGAATTGAGTGCTGATGTTTTTTATTTATTGCAGTAGCTTTAGCACACTTTAAAATAAGTAATAAAAAGTCAATAAGTCTACTTTCACTTAATTTAGTGACCTACTATTTTTAAGTTGTCTGCAGTTGCTCTTTTTGGCACAATCATTTTAAGGCTCTACCACGCAGGTGCTTTCTATAAACAACGGTAAAGATGTAATTTGTTTCAAACAGGTACAACAAAACTAATAAGAGACAGAAAGGTGCTTGAGAAGATCAGGTCTAACCAGGCACTGAGTAGAAACACCTGTAGACCGAGGGTGTGTAGGCTCTGTTTCTTCAAAGCTAATCCTGAACCACAAAAAAAAAAAAAAATCTTCCTGTCTGCAGTCTAATTTGACTTGCAGTTGAGTAATATTGAAATCAAGTACGTCTATCTCAGTAGGACAGCCTAGTAGCTGCTCTATAGTGTACTGTATATAATGTATATTCACCAGGGTATGCATGCAGCCATGCTAGCAGCTCTGTGACTGTAGGAAGCGGGTCATTCCTACTTTCCCCAGATTTACAGCGCACATAACTGCAACAATGACAAAGGGTCCTATGTTCCCCAGTTCTAGGGATAGGAATAGCCCATCCCCCCCCCCTTAGGCACAGCGATGCTTTGAGCTAAATGCTAACAGAATGCTAATGGCTGATGTTTAGAAGGTATAATGTTTACCATGTTCATTATCTTGAGTGTTAGCATGCTAACATTTGCTACCTAGCACAAAAAAATAACCAAGGTGGCTGAACCCAGTTTCGTAGCAGTCCATAATGTTTAAGACATTTATCTTAAAAGACATTAGTCATTATTCCTTTACTGTCTCTGTATGAGATAAGTGTTTGTCACGTTTTGACTTCAGCAGGAAAAGCACAGGTGGAAGCAATCCCATTGACAACGGCTGAGATTCCATTAGCATTAATTACACATGTTCCTACTATTAACACGTCAAATGTCTACTGTATGAAATTTGTGTATTCTCGTCTAATGAAACAAGACAAAGCAATCTGAAAGAACTGAAATGAGACAACAGCAGATTTTAAATTAATTTATGTAAGTGAACAAACAGAAAGCAAATCAGCCATCAGCAAAAGAAATAAGTGAATCCATCCCTCTTTCTTTCAGCCAGTAGATGGCAGCAGTCTGTATTAAGATGTGGGGACACACTCTCTTTTCACTCACACACACACACACACACACACACACACACACACACACACACACACACACACATTCACACTGAACACCAGCTAACCCTCTTTTCCCATGATGTCATAGCCAAGAGCCAGCATGGGAATATCTGTCACATCCACTTAGTTTCCTGCTGCCACCCAGCTCTGTGTGTGTGTGTGTGTGTGTGTGTGTGTGTGTGTGTGTGTGTGTGTGTGTGTGTGTGTGTGTGTGTGTGTGTGTATCCATGGCGTTGGAACAGTTGGCTATATGCTGGTCATGGCTGTCAGAGTGTGATATTTGACTGTATTTGACAGAACGTGAATAATTTCTCACTGTTTTTCACATACACATAAACACACCGAGGGATGAAGACTGTAACTTGTTTCTTTTTCTTTTATTTCTCACTGCACCACAGGCTTTTAACAACAAATATAGAACATTTTGCTTTTATTTTGTGTTCTCTTTGAGTGTTCCTTGCATGTGGATGGTTTGCAGTGCCGGTGAGTGCTTTGTAATTTCATTTCATTCCGTCTGTCTCTTCTTGTCATCTCTTTTTTTTTAAAGCAGCCTCTTCTTCCTCAGGTAAAGACAAAGACAGATGGAGAGGGAGGGAAGGAGGAGGAGGTTTCAAAATGCCCAGCAGAAGAACAACATCTTCCATCCCCTTCCCTCCCTCTCCTTCTCCTCCTCCTCTTCCACCACCACGGCCTCCTCTTCGTTCACGCCGCAAATCCAAGTCACCCTCATCCCGCTCCAACCACTCAACCCCAAAACGAGCCTTGGATTTGGACAAGATCGCGGCCACCCCTGAGCGAGAGGAAAGCAGGCAAACCCGCAGAGGGTCCCGAGACCTCCGGGGCTCCCAGGGTTCAGAGCTGGACAAGAAGTGGGAGGGTGTGGCCTTGGAGCTGCGTTGCCATGGCAGCAGGATGAGGTCGGCAGTGTACCAGACTTCAGACTTGCCCTCTATGGTCAAAGCCAAGAGACAGTTGGAGCAGAGTGAGGGCAAAGGGCAGATAGACCGGAGTAAATTGAAAGCAACGTTTGTTTGAGGAGCTCAGTGTTTATAGTTGACTCACAGACAGTCTGACCTGCTGATGTGGTCTCTGCAGCAGCTGAAACATTGTCTAGGTTTCAAATTGAGACGAAGGGCCCGGTGTCAACAACTGTGCAGCTGCTCCCAGTCTCACTACCGGGGGTTCTTTGAGGAGTTGGCAGGCTGAGATTTATCAAATGTTGTGTCCCAGTTCCATACTGCATATTCATTCTCATGTACTGTGATTATTTTCACAGCTATTATTACTGTATTGGCTACAGATTAAACATTTCCAAACAAAACATAATTGTCCTATAAAATATAATCCATGTTTAGCTCGACCAGCTCCAACATGCAACAAAACAGTATCTCTAACTATAGTTTATAGTAAGTAAAATGTCTTTATATGGAGCTTTTTACCGACATAAGTCCCAAAGTGCTTTACAGAGGCAACGTACAATAACGAGGGCACAACAGGGAATGTACAACATGACATAATCTGTGATTTAAAGGGGCACTCTAGTGATTTAGTGGTCCACTGCTCTTCCATAAGAGAGAGAACTTGCAAATAGAAAACACTCAAAGCAGCAGAGGCTGAAATGTTCTGACTTTCAGTCTTCAGTATGGCTTCAGGCAAGAAGGAAAAAATGTTGGATCCTACATGTCCCATAATATACACATACATACATACACTATCTTTCATTAGACCCTACCGTCTGGTAAATACCCACTGTCAATCTCCACAACCGCAGTCTGCAACACAGACTGTTAAGTCCAAGCCACGGGTTATTTTCTCCTCCTGAGCCACAGGAGACATTATACAGCTGTTTTCACAGGCTGAGTAGTTCTAACCACAGCAACCAACCAAGCTCATCTTCATTAGTATCTGTGGTGTGCCTCTTTTTAAAGAGATGGACAAAACAATAACTGTAGCAATATTATAGTCAGTTTTTTTCATTAACAAATTAACATGTAAACCACTTAAATTACCATTAGAAATTGTCAGCTGTCTGCATTATTTTAGGCAACATAGTGAAGAAAATACATTGAATTCACCTGTCATTCCAGGAATAAATGCCTCTGAACTTACAGAGGCCCTGGAAGTAATACCACCCGGCAAAACATCCAGTCCTGAGTCAAGTGCCTTGGTCAAGACCAGGGCAATGCAAGGATTTATATTACACTGAAGCTTACTGCTGTAAGACACATCAGTAAAACCAAAACCTGTTCTGTCCCCCTCAGGATTTGCCTCAGTGGACACATGGACATATCATGTTCCCATAATAAAGTATTTTCTTGACAAGTAATCTTGTAATCGTTTATTTATTGTTGCGGATTTTAAGCTGTTTTGCTCATTTTACATTCCTTCATTGGCTTTATTCTCCAGCTAGTTTTTACAGATTAAAATGGCTTTCCACTGACGGAGCTGAGGCTCCACTGATCTGCATTAAGGCAACATGAATCCCTGTCTAACCCCCAGCCGAGAGCCAGCCTTATGAGTTAAGTGAAAGGTGCGCGAGTTATGCGGTTTTAATAGAATTAGCTCCATTGTAAACAATAAGCACTTGACGCAGGATGACAACTGTACTAACGTGGCAGGAGCCCGCGGGGGGAGGCTGATGTCTCTGCCCGCCAAGGTGGTCTGATTGTCGGGGAGAGAGTTCAGTCAGCTGGCGGGGCCTCGGCTGTAAAGGCTATTTTGAAATGTGACCTCTCTCTCTCTCTCTCTCTCTCTCTCTCTCTCTCTCTCTCTCTCTGTGTGTGTGTGTGTGTGTGTGTGTGTGTGTGTGGGGGGAGAGGTGCAATACACACACACACACACACAGCTGCTCGGAACCATGACAGAAGATGACGGATACAGTTGTCGCGGAGGGACAAGTCAAGTTTAGAGATGGAAAAAAGGTTAATTCCTCTAACAATCCTCTTATTTTTGAGCTTTAAAGTGTGTCGCCATACTTCAGGACCAACTACAGGAACATTATTTGACATTTACTGATTCTTTACAAACTTCTCCACAGTGGAAGACTCGGTGGGTCGTTCTTCGGAAGCCCTCTCCGGTCGCAGGTATGTGGCAAACCGCTTCTATTTGATTTTATCTTTTACAATCAGCTTTATTATTCCTTCTCAAGATGTGCACATTTTCACAGCGACGGAGAAAGCATCAGTTCATTCAGCACTAATCTCATCTGGTTGCAGTTTAACTAATCACAACTTGTGAATTGGTATTTTGGCTGTGCGCCACGGGAGCGCATAACGCAACATATCCGCGTAAACACGTGAAAATGTTACGCAATACTACAGCTGAAATGATCGAAAAGTTTATTTACAGGAATTTACCAAGTCCACCTTTAAAGAGTGTAAATAAAACACGAATGCTGTCTTCCCCCTTCAAATTAAGATCCTGGATATTTAATCTTCTGGGTTTTTTTTAGTGCCAGTTGGATTAAAGGTTAATTATTTAAAAGCCTGCCAGGTAAAATCATAAAGCTTGACATTGCGTAGTCTAACAGAGGTTTCTCTCTGCATGCTTGGCCAAAAAAAAATGCATTTCTTTAAACTGGATTGAGTTTTACTTGAGATGCTGAGAGGACAGACATTGTGCCTCCCAGCATACATAAACATATGGCTCAAACTGTAGGCTGCTGCTGTGTCCTTGGAGAAACTGGGTAGAGTGGTGGGAGTACTGTTGACTACTCTGCTCTCTCTCTGGGTGTGTGTGTGTGTGTGTGTGTGTGTGCATTTGTGTCTTGACTTTCATCATCAGCTGTGCCAACGGATCAATTCATTGTTTTAGGGTTTGTTATGACAGCTGTGCTATACCATCATGCTGGCATGCAGCAGAGATGACAAAAAAGTGACACTGTTGTTATTCTGCTATTAATTACAAAATTGACTTTTAAGCTTGTCAGTCTTTAAAGCTTCCCGCTCTGTGTGTCCACCCTCTGTGTCTGCATCAGACTGTCTGACTCTGCTGGTGTATAAGGAGAAGAAGAAAGGGAAGGAGAAGGGCAGCGGCAACAAGGAGAGGCTCAGTGTGACACTGGAGGTACGTTCAGCAACAGGAGACCAGAAGCAGTGAGCTTCTCAAGTGCAAGTTTATTACATCTCTTTAGTGTTGTTGCATCACCCAACCAGCCAGCCTTTCTGCTGCTCCCACATGTACAGGGGGTGTACCAAATAATGTGAGTACCACATGAATGGATAAGGTCTTGAGGTGGATCACAGTAGATTGCCCAGATGTTAGGAGCAGCATTAAACAAAGAGGAACACGTAGACAAGCTGAAAATAACCAACAAGAACAAGACTAACAGGGATAACCACCTATATAAAATATATAGGGAGCTGGACCCAAGTGTGACCCAGTAAAGTGCACCAGACCAAAGGAACCAGAAAGTAACACGCATTAATGAGATTCCTTGATATCTGAGATATTTATGTTTTTTCTCTGTTTAGCTTCAAAGGTATCCCAACCCAACATCAGAATTTCCTTTGGAGAAATCCAACTGACCTCAATCAGCAGAAAAAAACCCATTTGATGTAGGCTAATAGGCCTGGTGTCTAAGTAATATTGCTAAGAAATAGTGCAGCTATCGCCTTTATGATAAAAAAGAATACAGAATAAAAGAGACTATTGGTGATACAATCTAAAATGTTCAATGTCATTTCCTCTGCTCCCTCAGGGGATCTGTGGCGTGGAGCCAGGGACCGGGTATGACGGGGTATCCTTCACTCTCTCCATCCTCTGTCTGGCGCACACGCTGGTCCTGGGCTTCAACAGCCGAGACGCCCTGTTAGCCTGGGATGCCCGCATACGCTACAGCCTGGGAGAAGGTCAGTGCTCTGGCATTGTGTGGCTGTCACAGTCCTTGGTTCAAGATGAGGATGTGTGACGGGTCAATGGGCTGAAGGGGGCTCACTGAGCTACATGCATGCATTTCCCTGATATACAGTAAAGTGCATTTTGATCATGATATTGTCAGTTCTTACTGGCTTTAACATGTAGTAAACCCTAACTGTGGTCACATGTATGTCCAGCAAGAATGTGTAGTACATGAAGCAGTGCTACCGAAAGACACACTCCACTGGAGGTCACTGGCTAGACTGGATCAAAGAAATCACAGGCGGAATTACACAGACCGATAAGATCTGACTTCCGTCACTCTGGTTCTTCTCTATCTGAAAAATCTGCTGTCTCAACTTCACAACTTTCTGTTCAGAGGAAAGTGGCAAGCAGAGGGGAAAAGGAGAAGTGGATATAAGAACCACACAAAACAGTATGAGTGAACTATGCTGGATAGAGTTATACAAGTTATGAGGCTTACTTAAAGATCCTCTTTAGACATGTATCATGACAAATAATCTGCTTGGTTTCTACATCACACTGTACAATTTGCATACTGGATCAGGAAGACTTTTTGTGATGTCACAAATCATGCTTGTGGGCTTCGTCAATGTGAAAACATCCTTCTAGTGTCAAACTGTCAGAGAAGCTCAAACATCCAACTTTCACTGATCGCCCCCCCCAATTATCCTTTAAGAAGAGTGAAAAAGTCTGCTCTCTTGATGCAGTTCCAGCCAAACAGCTCAAAGACCTATAACACAAGCCTTTTATCTATTGTTAAAAACTGTCTTTCAATTAGAAGTTTGCAGAGGTTCACCGAGGAAACTCAGACTCTTCACAAATAACTTTTTACCTCCTGTCCAAACTTTCTTTTACTGTCTTATTGAGAAATGTTCTCTTAACCATTATGAATTTTAATAACATTTAAATAACTTCAGCCCAATTTTAACTGTACTTTAGTTCAGGCTGTGAGTTGAATGACATTTTTGGGCAGTCCTGTCAGTGCTTACATTATTCTCTGAATAGGTAATTCTTCCCCCTCCTCCTCTTTCCAAAATATAATCTGCAGGATATTTTCGAGGCTCCATCCTACCTCTTAATCATATTACCCACAAGCAGTCTGTTCCTCCATCACTGTGAATGTCACATAATTTTATCTCCCCTTGAAACCCACAAACTGCAGTTTTCTTGATATTAAAAGCTCATGTCAGAGAACATTTTCTGTTATTTTCCGTCCTCCTGACTGTAAAAGTTACAGTACACCAAATATTTTACCTTTCAATATAAAACCCATTGCTAATAATCTAGGGATGCCCCAATTTCACTATTAAAACAAAGGTTTAGTAGTTTTAAATGTATCCACCACTATATTGAGTCATTCATGCATTTATTTCCTCTTTACCCAGCAAAAGTCTATTTCATGCCAGCAGATTGTCGACCATGTTGCTGTAAAGCTCCTGTCTTTGGCCAAATGTTAAAACCATTTAACCCTCAAATTACCCATCTTCCAAATTGTGAATACCAAAGCCCTCAAGGCAGCTTTTTGTTTTACATAATTTACATAATTTAAAATTTGCTTGATCAGTAAACCAGCACAATGCATTATGTAGTCCCCAGCTTCATCTTGCTGTTCCTCCCTGCAGTCCAGCAAAGTGAGCTCACTCTATTAAGTCTCTATGTACACAATAATAATAATAATAATAATAATAATAATAATAATAATAATAATAATAATAATAATCTGTTCTTGTTTTAAGCTTGTTTAAAAGACTGCAAATACTTTAAGAGTTATTATAAGCTCCACTATTGGTGTCATATGGACATCCACTTAGTTTCCTGCTGCCACCCAGCTCTCTCTCTCTCTCTCTCTCTCTCTCTCTCTCTCTCTCTCTCTGGTGTGTGTGTGTGTGTGTATATATATATTTATTTATTTATTTTAAATAAATACAGTATAGACTGTGTGGCTGTGCAAGGGAGAGATAGACCTTGGCAAAGAAGAAAATGTACCATCTGCACACACTGAGCAATGACAAATTGCAGCCAGCAGAACTTGAAGAAGGGCTTAATCATCATTACCATAGCCATCACTTACATGTGTGAACATGTACTTGCACGTGTGATATGCCCTGTTGGTTTGTTTTTATGTTCCACCTCATTTGTTGTGTGATTGATGTGCTTTATGATCAATGATGCTTCAATTGTCTTTAAAGTCATTATGACAGAGAGCTGGTGAATACCACACACACTCCCCTTTTTTAAAAAAAACATCTTTCTCTCCTTCAGTCCACAGGTTCAGTGTCAATGTCGAGCCAGGTACCAAACTGGAAAGCGGCCCCGCCTCCCTCCACTTGTGCAACAACTTACTGGTCCTTACCAGAGGTGTCCCTCCTGTAGTCATTGGCCACTGGAAGTTGTCGGCGTTGCGTCGATATGGTGCAGTGCCAAATGGCTTCGTGTTTGAGGGAGGGACTCGCTGTGGATACTGTAAGTAACTTGTGGACTGAGAAGGTTTTTCTGCTATTTGAGTTTAGATACTGTGGCCTGCAGCCATATGGGGCAACATTTGAAAAACAGTTTTGGACAATGCACAGTAGCTATGTCCCATGCCTGACTCTGTTCTGCTGTTGGTGTATTCGTGTTATTTGAGGGTAATTGGCCAAAAAGTTAGATGATGTAAGGTCAAGGTTATTTCTACCAGATCTACATGGGAGCAATATGGGTGAAATAAATCAACGGTTAACATCAAGGCTCTTTCTCATTTAACATTTAACATTTAACTCAGCTAACACAGTTTGTTTTCCTCTTGCAAAGCAAACAGAGGGAATATATATTATATATAATATATATAGGCATAAATATATATAATATATATTTATACCTTAAAGGACCAGTGTGTGGGATTCAGTGGCATCTAGCAGTATAGTTGCAGATTGCTACTCCCTTGCTTCACACTCCCCTTCCAAGCATGTAGGAGATGTGATCATACATAGTTATCCATATTATATTCCATTTAGTAGGGCCCTGACTAAAGATTTTCCTAGATGATGTATAACAGTTACTTAAAAATCAACTGGCTACAAACTCACATCTCTCCATCTCTCCCTTCACTCCTCTCCTGTCCCTGTGTGAACCCGCTGTTTCTGCTGGACAGAGCCGATGTAAATCACAGGGGGCCTCATTTATAAAACTCAGCATAGATTCCATCCTAAAACATTGCGTACTCACAAACTTCAGAGTCTTTTTACACAAGAAAATATTCAAATCCATAAAATCGAGTGCACACTTTTCCATAAATGGTCAATACTTTATGGTTGCAGGTGAGGGGGGCACAGGGGGGAGAGCGTGCACCAGAGTTGAGCTACGTCTCCAGCTCGGCCACAGTGTCCGGTCAGCCAGGGCCCAGTTTGTTTTAGTATTCTTGTTTAGCCTATGCATGTAGTGGTAATAATAACTATAGGCTATACACAATTAGGGGCATGCACACACTGAAATGTAAAATTTTATATTCCAGGTTTTTTCACGAGGGCCTTTAAAAGAGACTGAATATTAAGAAAACAGGTTCATTTATTAGTTGCTCTGAGCCTCAATAAATGACCACAGAAAAAACAAATCAGTTTAGCTCTTGTCACATGCATATGTACAATTAAATGTCCTCTCATGCTTGTGTAGGAAATACAGGAAGTCAGTAACAGAAGTAAAAGATGCAGGTGGAAAACACAAAAGACAACAAAAGAGTCACAGTATCACAGTATCCATGAGAATGCATTCAACCATTCAACTGACTGATTTTCAGTGTGAGGGTAACTTAAGATGAGTTAAGTCTAACCAACCAACAACTCATTGGACCAGTAACTTTGTCCATATACAGTCGGTGCAGCACAGTTGTCTTATGCTTCCCTTAGATAAACAAACGCTCCTTCTCATTTCTTGCAGCTTGATAGATCTGTCATTTAACACCAACCGACCTGGATAAAAACCTATGATTTATTGCAGGTCTTTATAGAGTAACTTTATCCACTTAAGAAATTACTTTCTATGTATGAACCCACCACACTGTACGCCACCAAATAATGCTGTGTGTGTGTGTGTGTTTGTGTGGTTGCCAGGGTTTAGGTATCCCCTGAATGTCCAGTTGATGTGGTAATGAATGTGAAGAATGAGAGGCAGTTTTATGTTTTGGGGTAGGGATGTGTGTGTGAGAGACACATGGACAGTGAGATAAGTGTTTAAAATGTTCATTGTAGGGGAGCTTAACTTGCCTACAGCTGCCATGTTCCTGGCTTCATACCTGAAAATATGTCTTTTGGTAGATCTTCTTTATAGTGAGAACTATCTCCTCAGTGTCATTTTGTGTTAGAGAGGTGTTGGTCTTAAGAGAAAGTTCCTGTATGCACTAATGTGATGTCTGTCTGTCTGTGTGTGTGTGTGTGTGTGTGTGTGTGTGTGTGTGTGTGTGTGTGTGTGTGTGTGTGTGTGTGTGTGTGTGTGTGTGCGCAAACAGTCTCCTGGCTCCTACAGGAATAACCATGAGGTCCACAGGCTCTGGTTTCAGTGTTCTGATGGGCAACATCTATAAATACCATCCTCCCCTGTAGTGGTCACTCAGCCAGTCACCTAGCGCCTGCAGGCTAGACTGCCAATGGCAGTTTTTTCCTTCACCCCCAATCTACATATTACCCAGCAGCCACCGGGGCAGTAGCGAGAGGCCCTCTTGGCTGCAGGAACAGAGAGTGACAGAAATCGGCAAGTGACATTCCTTGCGTGAGTGCAAGGTAAAGCAGAGTGTTAGTTTACATTTTACATGTTTATTTGTATTTGGTGAGGACATGTGAGGCATACCAGTGCTTAGCATTTTATGGTTTCACCCAAAGCTGGGCTTTATGCACCAACTTGTCTGCTTACAGTCAGGTTCTGATCATGCAGATTGTTTCAGCAATTACCCAGAAATCATTGCAAACGTTTTAATGTCTTATTGTTGACACTGATCAGATACAGTCAGAGGAGCTGGGAGTGGGCAGTTTCTAAGTGAAGGCAGTGCAGCATGGCTACTGTATTCATGTATAGTCAGTACTGGAGCAGATTTATTACAAAATACCACAACGAAACATCTGTACCTCTTTACATTTTTTGGAGGAGTTAGTCATAAAAAATGAATTAGCTCTGCTCCAGCTAGCAGCTCCATTAATCATTTTGAGTAACCATAAGCAGAGGAAATGACACTGTTTATCATAACGCTTCTAGATACAAACCATTAGGTCACTGACACCGTCAGTGATCAAATGCTCTGTTTTTCTTGTTGGCATTACTTTTCTTTTCTGTTTATCTTTGGAAAAAGTTTTAAGCACTATTGTCCCACACATCAGCAGCCCCTTGCGATGCTGTTGGCAACAGAGCCAATAAAACTTACAGAATGAAATCCTCAGCTTAGATTCTAAAATCAGGATTTGACACACTGATCATGTGCTTAGACATCGCAAACGCCTGCAGAGAAAATCTTGGAGCAGGAGAGATCACGAGGAGTTCTTTAAAGATCCCCTCCAGTTATGTGTTATGACATGTACAAATAGTCTGTCTGGAACAATAATGTGTGTCTAATATGTTTTTCAGCAAACATATCCACATCCATTTCCACATTTAAATCATTGAAAATGCATCTACTCCTTCTACCTCATTAAACATTTCAGAATCTTTGAATATAAAAAGTTCATAGTTTTAAAAGTTTTCCTGCTGAACACAAGATGTCTCTATTATTGTAAAGTTTCTTAGTATCCATGAAAAGTACAAAATGGCGGCACATAGTTACAACAGACAGGCCAGAATCACTGTAAAGATGTGCAAATGTTGCAGAATAATTGTAATCGTATAGACAAATGGTTCTTTATTAGGCTGCACTTTCTGAGCACTGTACTTTGAACCGATGTCTTATAAAATGACTGCTTTACCCTCTCAGCTCCCTAATTTCCCATGAGGCCTTTTTGCTCGAGCAAATCAGTAAGCAGGTCTCTCGGTCATCTAATGCTGCTGTATAAAAATATTTTACCCTTGACTGCCACAGTGCTCTCTGCTGCAGATGCACTTTTAAAGTCAGCTGTGCCTCTGACGGTACAATTCCTGGCTGCAGAGCTGAAGACGTACACCGCAGTGACATGATGAGCCTTTTTACGGCCATGGACATACACAAACACACTACGAGGCAACCACTCCTGTGGGACAGTGGGCAGCTGTCTGCGCAAAGCATTTTACTAGGCACTATCAGTTGAGCTGGGTTCCTCATGGATGTCTGTTGGATGTGTGCCTTTTGTTGGACAGTCACATGCACACAGTGTAGCAGTGTCAATCATCAATCAGTACACAGTGATATCAGCACTCCAGCTTCCACTCAATGTGATAACGAGGCTGCGGTGTTCTGTAATCGATGATGTTGGGAGCAGAGCCGGTGTCATAGCTAGACAGATTTGTGGCTTATCAGGTCCACACGTGTTCATGTTGGTCCTGTACCACCCCATCCACCCACCCACACACACACACACACACACACACACACACACACACACACACACACACACACACACACACACACACACACACACGCACGCACACAGTAACAAATGATCCTCCGTGGAGTTTGGATGGCCAGTCAAGCCTTGTGATCTAGATAAAAGCAATTTTAAGCCGACATACTATGTCAGCAATCTTTCCATGTCCCTCAGCAGGAATAAACACACACGTGCACACACCTCGTATTGTAGTACAGTAGTATGTTGATGCACGTGTGAGGTTGTTTTTCTTGTGGTGTTTATTATATGTTAGAAAGCATTATGCAGCAGTTTTGCTGCATACTTTTGAGTTCATCCAGATCAGAAAGCAATTTTAACTTCTCTGATATCGTGTGACATTAAAGTGTGAATGACCCACAGAGGTTGAAATGTCTCTGAATCTCCACCTGTCATTAGAAGTGTTGAAGCCTCTTGGATGAGTGGTGAACCGTTCTCAAGACGAAACAGCTGTCCACCTACAGTATGTGTGTCATTATGATGCAGAGTGGTTTATCTGTTAAAGGTCCAGTCTGTAACATTTAGGAAGACCTATTGGCAAAAATGTAATATAATATGCGTAACTATGTTTCAGACAGTGTATAATCACCTGAATGTAGGAATTGCATTTTTGTTACCTTAGAATGAGCCTTTCCACCACACAGCTATATTCCACTAAGTCCTGGACACTGGTCTTTTAACTTATGTCAACCAGTTTAGAGGATGAAAGTTGCCTGTGTGAACAAATAAGATGAACATTGGTCCCAAACAGAAATAATTTGTGGTGTAATTTGACAGAAAAGCAGCTTATTTCTATGTTAAATATAATGCTCTGCTGCTACAATAAGAAAATAACATCTGTCTCTTTGAAGATGAGCTGACATGCATCTGAGCTCAGCATATTTGTGAGAAATAAATGAGTACCAGGTCCAACAAGGCCCTCTGGGTGTTCATAACAAATAAAAAATACGAATTTGACTGCCAAACAAATGTCCACTGAGAAAATTACAGAAAATAGAGAACAGCTTATTTTATCCCAAGAGATCCTAATGTCATTCTTTCTAATGCTACAATATGTCTCTTTTGTTTCAAACATTACATTGACATTGCCCCATAAAGGCTGAAAAATCTGACAAAATAGCTTGCACAGAGAAAACGCTGTTCAAGGCCTCTGAAAATGTTTTTTTTCATACCAGATGAAAAGGAGAGACTAGAAAGAGCTACAGCCATGACTTTACTATGCTGCGTATTAACAGAAATACTGGCAAACTACACATGTGATAATTTCTTAGAAAAGAGTGGTTTATTAAGTGGAGTTTTGTTGTGTTTACTGCTTGTTTCTGGTTCTTTCATGTGGCTGCCTTTAAAGCTTTTCAGGTTTAAAGGCAGCTATAAAACGTGGCTTTGTTGTTGAAGTTTATAGCCTACAGCTGCCTTTCAAATCAACTAGGCGAGATTTTCGTAATCCAAAGATAAATCGAGGTGGAGTCATTTTCCCACTGAAAGCACGGCACCTTGTGGTAAAAAGGAAAATCTGCTAATGAAACACCTTCACCAAATGTCAAACAGATGATAACTGACTTAATGAACAATCCATAAAGGAAATGAAGGGTCATTTTTAAGGATATAGTTTGTGGTGCTGTTGAATTGTATTGGGTTATACTGGGAAGTGTAGCTGATATTTAGTCTACTTTATTTGATTTAAATGGAGTAGAATTTTTTTTAGAAACACCTCTCAGTGCACGATATTTCTTACTTTAAAGCAGCGTGGGGGACTATAGTCTGGCTGTGCATAACTGGCCTAATTGTGACGTTGATCGTCCTCCCGCAGAGAATCTCATGCAATGTTTGTGTTTTCTTGTTTGATTTTGATGTCTGAATGGCTGAAGAGGTACATTCAGGCTTCCATACAGTTTGTAACCTTCAGATTTAAAAGTTAAAAAAGGTTAATTGTTTTTCCCTTTCATTTACAAAACTGTAGACTCACAAAGATGGCATTTATGTTGTACTAAATTGTATTATGTGTCATTGTTATTTTCTCCAACTCCTGTCTCTGTGAAGGATCATAACACAGCTTTTGAGACTGAGGGCTCATTCTGTTCAGGGTATGGGCTTTATCAGCTACGTCTGTTCAGATTACAAGTTTGTATTAAAAAGCCTCAGCTTACAGCCTCGCATTGATATTATCAGTAACTGTACTTTCATACTTCATCTCCTCCCGTCGATAAGCAGGCCAAGCATTTCCACTCAATCAAGAAAACACGATAAAATACATGACGGCTAATGAAGCTAATAGGTTTCCATTACATTTAATGCTCAGTGATGATTCAAGAGAGAAACTCTTCAATTATTCAGCTTAAAAAAAACTAAATGGTGATCTGACATATTGCAGCATATTGTAATAGCACTGAATATACTTTATAATATAATGAAAGTAACAAGTTAAGTACGTAAACCTTAGTACGTAAAATGTTGTGGATAAGATTAATAGATACCTTCATCCAGGTATTAAATGCTGTTTTGTGACCATTGGAATTTAAAGTTGTCTCATACATAAAAACATAATTTTCAGTACTTTAATAATACAACAGCAGCTTTTTTTATCTTTAGCTTGAAATTACATATGAAACAAAGCAACTTTGCTGACTCAGATGTTATCATTCTGTAAAACTTTTTCCTGCTCCGTTTTTTCTATTTTTATTAGCAGCAAACTCAGTTCCATGAGAACAAAGATGATTTTTTTTGACGAACCCCTGAGTAAGGGCTTACTTTGTGGCTGTCTTTTCAATATCTCTGCAATGGGAGATTTTGATGTTTCATGATTTTTTTTTGCTTGTCTTGTGTTTTCACAGACGCCTACCTCTGTGTGGGCTTGATAGGAGAGTGGGGGCTGAATTGAGAGACGTTTTATGTAACCTTTGGAGGAGAGGGTTGTTGCTTGCTCAAAGAACAACCTTGCCTTTAGAACAGCCTTCTGAACCCTTACTGAACAATGTTCAGTTGTTTGATTAGACTCTATATTTCACCATTTACTACAACATTTTCTCACCTCTGCATCATGCTGTTTAATTTGGTGATTTTAGTTTTCCCACATTTTCTTCCCAACCCCAATATCATCTTCTTTTGAGGTATCCATCATATATGTATGTTTCTCTTTCACTAATAGCGTTGTCTCTCTCTCTCCCCATCCATCTTCCAGGGGCTGGTGTTTTCTTCCTGTCCTGTTCAGATGGAGAGCAGATAAGTTTCCTGTTTGACTGCATTGTCAGGGGCATCACCCCCAGCAGGGCCCCTCATGGCCTGCGACCTGCCTTGCCAGGTGAACACATACATTCACACAATCATGCATACATGCATATAAGCTTAAAAAGAAAAATACATGAATAATATACCGGCACACATACATACGTACAATATAAGGATGAATTCTAGGATGAAGTAGTAATGTTTGTAGTAGAAATATCTGCAAAAGAGGCCTGCTGTTCTGAACTAAAACAATCATACACGTTGGTATGTGACTCTGTGACTTCCATTATAAAGGTTTACTGCCTGTTTAATGTGCATGTTTAGCATTTGTGTCAGGCGCCATGCTAACGGAAACACCACATGCTTAAAGCCCAAAGGGTCAACGTGTGGATTAAAGGGTTGTGCCTTTGTGTGTGACTTGTGCGCTATTGTAACGTCCTGCTAATTTCACAGGCATTTCTGAGACCACAAATATGGAGACTGAGAGGCCAGTGATAGTTGGAAAGAGAAAAGTTGTAACAGGACACATACGAAGGATCTGACAACTCTGAATAGACACACTGATACAGTGTACACACACGTCTCAGGGTCTGTTTTTGAATTTGGACCTAATACACACTTACATTTAATTTGTAAAGATAAAGTTTGGTAATGCTTTAGATTAAATAGATGGAGAATTGATGCCAACATGGAGAAAAGTAGTGCAGCACAAAAAGAAGAGACCTTCAACTTTCCATCTTCAGCCATTAGCTACTGCCAATATCAAACTGCACTTAACATTTCTTGCAGAGTCAGTTGCCATTTAAAAGTATAATAGTATCTGACTCTTTTGACCTGGACTCGGTTGTCCCATCTATTTCCTTCATACTGATAGATTTTTGACTTTGCTGTCACTAGGTTTCTGTAGAATTATTTATATCTTGCTTGTTGGCTAGTTTGGACGGCAGAAAACCTGTTTTGGAGGAAAAAAATCAACCATAAAGTTTGTCTCCTTCAGCACATGGATAGCTCATTCTATAAGCCATACCTTAGGCATGTCGGTTTCTCTAAACATAATTATATTTACTCAAGCCCTGTACTTAAAGGTTCTCTGCAGAGATGTCTTGTAAACATATAAAGTTTATGTTTATGTTTTTCCTCCATAAAACACATTGTGTGCATCCTTGAGGTCTAACAAATGTGTTAAAGGTGGGGTCAGTCATTCTGGAGAAATTGATTGTTGAGGCTCAGAGTGAGACACACAACACAATGGGTGGCATTCTTGCTCTCAGGAAGTCAAATATCGACACTTTGGTTGACTTAATGCATTTCCTTACACATTTCCTAATCATATTTTTTTTTTTTACATTTTGAAACCTGTATTGTTTTCACCCATGTTTACATATTAGCACTCCACTTTTTCTGTACACACCATCTAACTGAAGGTCAGTTGAATAATGTGAAATCATTGTGTTCATGTACAAAACAGGGATTGACTCATAAAAACATTGCTAGTGCTCAAAACATTGCAGGGGGTACCTTCAAGTACAACTTTAAGGTACTTGTATTTTACTTTTACTACATTACATTACCTTACTACCTTTTCTGCTATTTCTACTTGTATTCAACTACAATTAAAATTAACTCCACCTTGACCAGCTTATATGAATGCCTTTTGTACGTAAATACATAATAGTAATAACGTAATAATCTAATATATGGTGATATGTCACATTAATGGGGGGCATTCTATTGCCTATTGAGCTCTTTTACTGTTGATACTTGATCCTTGGTTGCTGATTCATCTGTACTCCATTAGATTTGAATGCACTTATAATGGAGTATTTTACACTATAGTTTCTTCAGCATAAGAAATAGATCAGAATACTTCAAATCTAACTTTACTGTAGGTATATATGGTAGGCTATGTGTCTTATACATGGTGCAAAGTCAGAATTAATATGCAAAGCCCTGTAGTACTGAATTAGACAGACAAAAACAAAACAAACAAATTATGTGTGAGGCTGTGTAGATGGAGAGAGCTGATCAATCAGATTGGTGGAAAAAGAAAAAAAAAGAAGATGAAAAATGTCCAGAGTTTAACTTCAGCCTCCTTGCAACATTTATTCTAGTGTCAGCCAACCGGCATCAATCTGCTCTGAGGCCCTCTCTAACCCCCACAACATTCACTGCTGTGAAGAAGCTCGCTATAATTAGCATGGACCAGCAACGTTAGCAAATGTTAGCTGACACCTCACATAGCGTAGTGAAAAAACTTGGCATCTGCACGTTAGCGTTAGCTGCTGCAGTCCAGAGGCAGAGATCCAGGGGTTAGGTTGTTGACACCTATACACACAAACACCCTGACCCAATGTGCAGGGGCACGCGCGCACACACACACACACGCCCACATTATGTATATATAGCAGGCATTAAGTGTGTAATTGGCAGGGTTTTACACTAAATCGATGTTCCAACAGATAGTCAAGGCGCCTATAACCTCCACTGGGAGATGTTAAATTTACAAGCTGGTGTAACAGTTGGAGACACACTCACACATGGCAGACATCTTAAAGAGGAGGCTGATGCATGCAGGAGCACTCTTACAACTTCTGCCTTCATATTTCCATTTTTATAAAGATAAAAAAACTGTTTTTCTGGTCTGGTTTTGTGAGATGTGTATTTCTAAAAGACATTCTAGCACACTGAAGTATGTTTTCATAACTTAATCCTTTTTAAAAAAAACAAGTCAAATATGAATTACCTTGAAATATTTCTATTCAGTTTTATCTTACTTTGATCTACAAAAAAATAAAAATAAATTTGCAGTGGATTCCTTCACACCAAAGACTATTTGGACAACAGTCAAACTGCTGATGGACCGTGAAAATGTGTAAAATTTGTATGTACTGTATGAACTGCAGATCCCAATGCTGACCCAGCTTCTGCAGAGGAACGAATCAGCCAGGAGGCATCAGAGCTAGAGAAAAGACTCAGCATGTTGTCTCACTGCAGCCTCGCCAGCAGCACAGGTACTGTACGTTTTTCTATTAACTTCACCTGAGGCAATATATCCAATATGTAACTCATCATCACTCTGCAATGTAGCAGAGGGATAGTATGCATCATTTTAGGACCTTCAGATGTTGATGTAGTCTGTTATGACGTTTGGGATTTATTTATACATAATGAATCTTTCACTCATCATTGCACTCTGTTTGCTCGGCATGGCTGGTCCTCTGCCCACACAAAGGCTTAATCACTGGTCTATTTTTATGAGGCCATTCTGGGAAAGGTTTGTCATAATTACGTGTGTGTGTTACTCAGAAATGTGTAGCTCAGTGTAGTCAGAAGTCCAATGATTCACTTCTGCTGACTACGTCTAAAACACAGAGCAATCATGAGCAAAAGCTTCATGATTTCTGCCCTGACTGCACAGAAACACTTGCAAAAGACTTGAACTGTAGTGTGATTGACTGAAAACTGATTTCACAGTGTCACAGTATTTTGTAGGCAGAGCCCAATTAAAGACATGATTTATATAACAATTATTAAATCTTCTGTATAGCAGTTTTACTTTGTGGTGTGCAGATGGGTTAATAAATCACTTCATCATCACTTCATAAGGATCTAATAACTTTCTCACCCCCCTTCAGCTTCCACTTACAGCTGCAGTACATCTGTTGCCGGGGATGACCAAAGCAGCATCTCCAGCTCCTCTTCCAGCCAATCAGATGCGAGCTATGGAAGCAGACTTCCATTTTGGGTGGAGCCGTTAACTAGGCCGCACCTCTCCAACGAGACAGCATCAAGCTCCTCCACGCTGAAGGCTTTGACCAGTTCAGATGACCGGCTTTATGCTGCTGTGATGGGAAGCTCCGGGACTCGCCCATCCTCCGCCCAGCTCCATCCTCGCGGTCTCCATGACAGCGGGCGGCAGAGCTCATTAGACAGTGGGATTGGGATAGCGACAGGCAGTCAGTCGTCTTACTCAGGGAGCTTCTCCTCGTATACGGGGAGTCTGGACACAGCCAGCCAGGGAGGCGGAGAGGAGTTTGGTTCCTTGGCCAGCCTACCTGCTCCTCCTTCTTCACCTCCTTCTGTTCCTCCCCCCACTCCTCCTCCTCCTCCTGCTCCTCCTCCTCCTCCTCTTCTGCCCACACTTACCCCAGAGCACAGTTCTGCTACCTCCTCCTCCTGCCCTTGTGCCTCAAGACCTAGCTCTTGTACATCCCGGAGGCGCAGTGAGGAGTATCAAATCCCCAGCCTGCTCAGACTGTGGTATGACACTCCCAGGAGTCTGCTCCAGACCCTGTCCCTGAGGGAACCCTCCGTCTCTCAAGAAGGCCCATCTGGGCAGGGCAGGGACAGCAGGAGCAGTGTAGATGGAGGGGGTAGTCAGGGACAAAGGTTGAGCAACAGCCCCACAGGAATCAGGGCCCACCATCAGGCCATGATGCAGCGCTCAAACTCCTGGGGCAGTGAGAGGGCGCCCTCTGTGGACAGTGGGGGGAGGTCCACACCCAGAGCCCTGCTGATGCCCGGAAGCTTGGTTTGTGGAGAAACACAGGTACAGACAGTGCCAAACTCTTTCAATACAATCAACTAAGCACAATATAGCATACCAGAGGGAGAATAATTAAAATAGTATAATGCCTCTCTATGAAATAAAAACCCTGTTCAGATATTTGGAGCACATCAGTTACACAGGCTTTATTAGTGGGACCAGAGAACATACACTTTTAAAAAAACATTTTCATAATACTAGAGTCTAATCACCCTGAAGAGATTTGGCTAATCACATTATAATATAGTTCAGTCCAAGAAAATGTAGATAGGTTTTCATCATTATGTAACTGAAGCTCAGCACTATAGAGAAATTGTCCATCTTTAGGTTCTCTTTGGGAGTTTTGTTTCTGTGTTAACATGTGCATCAAATATGGACTCTTAATGAAATGGACCAAAATGCTTGCAAATCATCATACTAATCACTTACTCCAGCTCTTGGATTCGCTCCAGCAGATGGTAATCTCTCCTTAATGTTTCTGCCTGCATTTATTAATCCCACAGTGGTATTTTTTATTCTTGTGCTCATAAATGGGATCTTATGTAACTATCCCTTGTGCTAATAAGCTAGGATGAGCTCCTCTGTAGAATTGTGGTTTGGATGTTGAGGGATGAGGAAAGAGGCATGGTGAGTATCAATAATATCACTGAGGTTACCAAGTCGCCACCTGCAGTCACAGATGTTTAGCTGTATGACACTCAAGGCGCCTCAGTTGGACAACTGCTGTAGACTGATATAAGAAAGTGTCTGCATCTTGATTTGCTCTGATTTTGATCTGGCTCATGTATTTCTACAGCGATATATTTATCTCCTGGGGTTCTGTGGCACTATGTGGTTCTAGTATGCTAGAGTCAGCGGCATAAGCACCGGCGGTGCAGCTGGTGCACTGCACCGGGGCCCAGCTGATTCTAAGGATGGGCCCTTTCCTGCCTTCACATACCGCGTTCAACAGGAACTAGTAGTAAGACTCAGTGAATTGGCTATACTCTCAGTACAGAACAGCATTATGACTTGAGCAGTGTCGTTAATGACTTTGCCGTTAATAAATTACCTCTCAAATGTTAGAAAATGCGCACTTACTGGAATCTGTGTCTGTGGTAACATTTGGCCGCAGTGCCATTGATGATGAATGATGATTAATTAATTGTTTATGCAATGCATGTAATTGTGTGATCAGATGGCATCCATTCATTTATACTGTGTAGGCCTATAATGAGTTGCTGTGCTTTTCTTGATCATTATTTGTTCTGTGGTTATTGACATACTGTGTAAGCTACTGTTTGTTAATTTGTTACTTTAGGCTGGCTAAAGCCTGTTAGGTTATTTGATAGTTGGAGACAGTGGTGGTTTGAGTCCAGGGCAGGCTGTTACTGCGTTGATAGATCTGGCACTTTGTCTGCTGTCCGTGGTTCTGATCAAAGGCTGCAGGTTAGCAATTGCATGGAGTCATTGTGTGTCTATACGCCTTAGTACACAAGCGTGCATTTTGGGGCGCTGCTGGCTACATCTGTTTGATCCTGGTCAAATTTTTAACATGGAGATAAGAGGCTCTGCACATTTAGGTCCACCAGTCTTAGCTACAATTATTTAATAATACAGTAAAACTTTAGGTCACTACACCGTCATGAGGGCAAAAAAAGCTTATAATGACATTACATAGAGAAAGCCTGTACCTCGTCAGGTAGTTTTACATTTACATGGAGTTTACAACTGTAGTTCTCATGTTAGGAACATGAGGAAGCTCCATAGTAAGCTCCACAGATACAGTATAACACAACAAGTTTTTCTAGACAAATGTGTTACCTAAATTAGTTGGTAGATGTAGGTATCATAATTGTCAATAGGATTCATTCACCGGGCACCACATATATCAAATATGTACCAATTTTCATGGCAATCCATACAATAGTTGTTGAGACCTTTGAGGCCATTTTCTAAAACCTGAAGATAAACTAATACACTAATACATAATGGAATTCAATCCATAATGAATGGAAAGGAAACACCAGGAACAAAGTGCAGGACCTAGTACTACAGCCCTCAAACACATCAGTGAACTCCACCTATCAAAGCCTACTTTTAGACTTAACAGAGCCTAAGATGTGAAATGCCTAAGTTGCTGGTGCCAATTTGCTCAAGCTTGCAATGATCGTCCTTTTAGTTTATACTAAATGAGATGTTGATTCAACTTGGTCATTTTTGAGGCCATAGAGTGTTGTTCAGTAAAGTGCCCATTAAGTGTCTTTTAGTCAGTCTTAATGAGGGTCTACTTCTCTAATGCAGTTTTCCTGTTTAGATTTTGCAAGTCTTAACTTTTGGCTGTATTACGTAATTGTGCAGTGTTTGCGACTGATGCACCAGCAGTTTAAGCAGCAATTATCTTGACTTTTCACATACACACTGGTACTTGCTATTCAAACTAATGACTCACTCGGGTGGCTGCCTTTGTAACTGTGATTTACGGTCGTCAGTGGCTTAAAGGCTCATAAAGAGGCTGAAAACACTGCACAATGCTGAGCAAGGCTTGCCACAGGGGCAGAAAAACAACTAAACATAATAATTTCTGCATAAAATATACGAAGATATGGGACTCACCACACTGGAGCACTGAAAGAACAAACCTTCTTTTAGCCATTTGTTAAACTAGCTTTTTAAGACCATACATCAGGTCATTCTGTACTGCAGTGTGTCATGCAATCACAGCACGCCTCCTCGGCACCTTCCATATGGGCACTTTCGTCTCCAGTCCAAGTGACTTTGCATGTCTTTGGTCTGAAAACCACAGGGCGTAGAAACATGGGTGAGAAGATTCAAACACCAGACAGAAGTGACCGTGAATCAAATCCCCTCGCTGTGAGGTGACAGTGCCACCTGCTGAGGCACTAAACCGCTAATACAGAAGAACACTAGTTGTAAAAAATTAGGTGTGTGTCCATCACAAACCTGTCCAGAGCCTGTTGTTTTCCCTTTGATACTTTTGTCCAAAACCTCAAAAGCCTTTGGAAGACACTCCACATTGTCTAATTAATTTTCTGATGGGTTGTGAAAGGCACTTTCTCCTTGTAGCGAGCAAATAATCATCAGAGCAGGAGAGAAAACAGCATGTCTTGTGATTTCTGACAGCTTGTGTAGGAGTGTGTGTGTTCATTATACATCATGTCTATGCTGGAGAGCAAAAGGGGACCAAGTAAGTTAATGAACAGTGATGAAACCGACAGAAACCCTCGCAGGAGAATCCTGTTGTATGAAACACCAATGAGTTTTCTTTGCTCATCATTCCTTGACTCTGAGGCGTCAGTGGTTCAATGTGACAAAAACTACACATCCTTCATGTCGGGTAATGAGACAATGCTTGATTCCACAAGTTGTATTAAGTCCTTTTGAAACAAACCGTATGACAGATAATATTCCTGAAGCTTGAATCTGCTGCTAGTTATTAGCTGCTGTGGAGCAGATGAAACTGGTAAATTGGGACACACTGTCAGAGATGTCTTCTGAGCCAGCCACCCTTTTGTCCCCCATCTGCCACCTCCTAAAGATGTCAGCTCTGTCCTCACAGCACTGTATCACCTTTTTTTCTTCACCTTGTGCCCTCACTCTCTCCCCCTTTCCTTCTTTCTCCTAATCAGTCCTTTTCAAAGCCTTTCTGTCCACAGCTGCTTAAGACATGTCCAACTTCTCTTGTCTCCCCACACAGTGCGGTCATGACAACTACATTACACCAGAGCAGTGGCAGTCAGCGAGGAACAGATGCTTAACGACTCAGGTCAGATTTTACCCACCTATTTTAGTTCTGTGTCTTTATGGAGCCATAAAAGAGCTCTGTGTGCGTAAAGCAAGACTATGTAACATTTGGTAAAAGAAACAACACACTCTTTCCTCTTAGAAATGAAAAGTTGAATTCATAAACAATAAAGCCACACCCTTGCATTTCAATTCACTCAGAGCCTATATTGGTCTGCTATGGTCAGTAATGTTAGCAAACTTCAGTTAGATGCTGTGTAACTGACATTAATGAGTAAATTTGCTTATTTTATTTTACCTTTAAACTTCTACTGCTGTTGCATTACATTCAAACATGTCACAGATGAAAATGATGATGTCTATTAAGAGCAACTAACTCCAAGAGAATCTTGGGAAATGAAGGCAATTCAATGTGGCTTTATCCTGTAATTAGCAGTTGAATAGTATCACTTTAAATCAAACATGACAAGAACATCAAACAAGCGTATTACCTAAACTGGTGCAGTGTAAATAAACTGCCTGTGTTTTAGCTATAATGAAGATAAAAATATTTGAAATAATGTTTTTTTATTTTCTAGGTTGCCAACTCACCGTCAGGCCTGTCACCTTCTGCAGACACACAAGGTGTGTTTGGGAGTGCAATTCGTGTGCCTAGGTCTTACTCAATAGTTCCATTTTATGCCACAATATACTACTATTCCATACATTTCAGAAGTAAATATTGTACATTTCTCTCCACTACAGTTATTTGACATTTACCAGTTTCTTTCGCATTAAAATTTTAATTACACTTAGGGTGCCCAGTTAGCTCAGTCGGTAGAGGTGGCGACCCATATACGGAGTTGCTGCAGCGGCCTGGGTTCGAATCTGACCTGCAGCCGTTTGCTGCGTGTCATCCCGTCTCTCTACCCACCCTTTCCTGTCAATCATCAGCTGTCCTATCCAATAAAGCCATGAAAAGGCCAAAAAATAGTTTTTTAAATACAGTTTATAAAATATGATGCATTGCATCAATTAAACTACTTTTATCATATTCTGCTGATGCTACTTATACTCATACTTTATTTTATTTTTAATTGAATTTTATTGAATTTGTATTACTTATACTTACGTAAACTTTATTGGGCTCAAAATATGTTTTTCAGATCGTCCTGTGTGTGTGAGCGAAGAATATGATTTCATTGGGCATGTTGGTGATAAACTGGCAGGTCTGAAGAGGTTGCTGCCCTCTCTGCCACCCTCTGTACCTCCACCCCTGCCGGTCGGACTGAACAAGCATAGGCCAACATCAGCCTGTGGTAAGAACATTTTTGACAAGTGAATTGTGGATGTGAAGTATTCCAGATAAAACCCATTTGTCTTTTGGTGTTTTTCCACTGACACTTTATCCCGCTGGTCTGGGATCAAATGTTCAACCGGTTAAAGATCAGATTTTTTCCTCAGGTATGTTCCAGCCTGCCCATGAATCTCCTCCGTCTGTGTCCCTGGACACTGGGCTCCATAGTGACAGCACTGGTAATTATGTTAACATCCCCATTAGCCCCCTGCCAGCTAAAACTAACAGAGAGCTCCTCTACACGGAGCTGGACCTGCAGGAGCCCAGATCAGCTCCAGTCTCCAGTCGGTGCAGTGCTGTCAGAGGTAACACTTTGCAGCTCTGCAGACCCAGTAAGGACACCAAGCCTGAAATGGCTGTTTTAGATCTCTGTCTTTTCCTATTGCTGGTTTCTTTTCTGTCTGGCTTCTGTTGGAATGGCAGCTTTTGCATCCCATGTCTCTGCTACCCATAAAGTACCTGTACTGATTCTTACAAATGTACAACCAAAACAATAGATGACATTGTTAATATTATGACAGACAAACAAAAGTACTTCTCTTTTACATTTTGTTTGGTTGAGAGAATTCTGCTATTGCTGCTTATTTTCCTGCTTACCTCTGCCTCTCTCTATCTATCGGCTGTATTTGAAAAAGTGTCTGTAAATGTTTTCTCTGCTGTTCAAATCAAAGAGGGACAGATCAGTACACTGAATGAATGGGAAAACAATTTATTTGCGTAAAACAAACATATGCATTTTATTTTAAGTGCTAGTTCAGAGGCGAATTTATGCGGTACAATCACATTATAACAGTGACATAACAGTCCAAATGTGTTAAAGTTCTTAGGTGTGAATTGGCAAATTAAATAGAACATCTTCAAATAAATGTATGCATTTTTGATAAAAGAGATCTATGTTTCAGTTAATACAAAGTACAAAGTAACTGAACAATGCACTTTAGGTAATGACACTGTATGTATTTCCTGTATGTGACAATTTTAAGTTAAAGAATACAAAGCAGAAACAACATTTTCTCTTTTCTCCTCCTCCTCTACCACCGATTTCTCGACCAGAAGAGGGCTCCATCAGGTACGCCCACCTCGACATCACTGCCATGGAAACAGCTCAGAGAGTGGGGGCGGAGCATGTTCAGGGCAGGGAGGACAGACTGACTCAACTGGAGAGCAGGCGACGAGGGCCACCAAACTGACTCTGCAACGCCCAACTCGTTGCCACTTCAAACTAGTTTTCATTGCTCATTCTCTCCATCAATTGCAGTTGTTCATCATAGCAATCATCGTTGCACTTAAACACACCCACAGTTGTGCCAGTGTACAGCAGTTTCCCACCAACAATCCATTCCACTAAAAAATACAAAAAACAGGAAATGTCTGGGAAATCTCTTATGCAGCTGCCATCTTGGATGTGTTTTGTGTTCTGTTGTATCTTCTCATATACTTGTACTTAAATTAGTGCTTTCCTGCATTTCTCTTGATGACCTTTAACCCAGAATTGTTACTTTTTTTTGGCTGCATGGCACTTATGTCGGCTGAGGTTGGAGGAAGATTCTCTCAGGATGACCGTTGAGCATTGGTATAAATGTCCTTAATTATGAGTGAATGTCACCAAAGACTAATGTTTACCACTGATATTATAGAGACAAAGATAGACAGCAACATTGCTTGGCATCAAGTTGTACTTTGTTAAGCTGGAATTTAGATCTACTTTCTTCAGACTGTGGTGTGGCTCTATCTGTTGTTACCTCTCTTATCAAGAGGTCGCACACTGCCACTGTTTATATTGAAATGATCTATCACAGGATTGAAGCAGAAAATGATCACACAATGAAATCAAGCCCCCCTCATCACACTGACACTGTTAAGAGTCCCAGCTTGCTTGGCTATCATTCCACATCAGAGCTTAAAAGCATTCGATTGAAATAAGCAGCTTAGAGTTATATCTCAGGAGCAAACTACATTAATCCAGACCCATGCGGCCCAAGCAGGACATGACTGGGTAATCAGCCAGCCAGTAACATTATTCATCACAGTAATCAATGTCTCTGCTTCTGCTCTGTGAGAGGGCAGGAATTGATGAATGGAAAAGCACAGTGTGTGTTCCCATTTCTCATCTCCCTCTTGATATCATCAGAACAAATTGTCCAATATTTGATGCCAATTTATTTTTATGGTGGCGGTTCCCCACCACTGTGTCTGACGAGAAGATGATGAGAAAAAAACACAACGTGAGGATGAGTTAGAAAAACTTCAAATTTGACTAAGAATGGTTTGTTAATGCCGCTACAGGGACTGCAGTGGCAAAGGGGTATGTTCTCTAGGACTTGTAAATAGTAACTGCTTTTATTTATGCCAAAACAATATGAATGATATTCAACTATATTTTTAAAATATTACTGTTTGTATGTTGTTGCCACCTGTATCTTATTGAATATTAAAGGTTGCTGTTACATTTTAAGTTTCAGTGCTTCTAACCTGAATCTGCAAAGCATTCTTCATTTTATATTGATTAGACAAAAGCAGTAACATTGCAATATTTCAGCAAACCAAGCTACGGGTTACTCCAGTAGTAACAGCTTATCTGATGCAGCATTTATTACTTGCACAGCTAATGACAGACGGGTGTGGACAAATTGTCTGGCCACCAATGTGCCAATATTCCCACGGGATGAAGTTCTCATGCAGGCGGTTGGCTGTTTCCCAGGACCTGAACCATCCCTTAGCAGCTAAACTACATCATTTGCTCATCTACATCAAGAGTAACTCAGCTCCTCAGCCACCCACACAAAAGTTGACTTTCTCGGAGCACATTCTCACCCAGACATTTCTTCTACACTGTCATTGGTTGTACAAATAAGTGTTGCTGCAGAGAACCAGACTAAAAATTATTCCACCTTTATTTGATCTGTACCGTGACTGATAATCTGACCAGTAAGTCATCACAATAAGTCCACCTGATTTATAAGAAATCTCTTATTTGTATAATATGTACAAAAACCTACAACTCATTCATTTTCATTTCTAAACAACTAGTAACACTAGAAAAGTAGAAAACATTGATTTTTTTTTTTTTTTACAGTAGTTGAAGGGGAATGGGGGAATGTAACGTATGTTATGTGTGTGTGTGTGTGTGTGTGTGTGTGTGTGTGTGTGTGTGTGTGTGTGGGGGGGGGGGAGGGAATTATTTTAGTTCATTCAACCTTCAATGACACGATGATCCGAGCCTCTCAGAGCTCATTGTGCTCAAGTCCCTGCTGAGAGATCTTGTTGGACAAGTCTTGCATATGTTTCTTCATCTGAAATCAGACAATGAAAGACATATATGTGATGTTTATGTACTATTTTATTTATACTGTGTTTGTAATGTTTGTTATATATGATTGATCATATATGTTAATACATTGTGGTATTTTATTTAATTTTGGATGCTATATTTTAACATCCCCATCTTAAAGATGAATAAAATGTGACACATCAATCAGAATGTACTTTGAAAAAGTTCAAACATTAACTCATAAATAATAAATTGTCAAGTTGAGCATGTTTGAAAATCAAGCTTCGAAAACTAATTCTGGACTTCCCATTGGCTGCAAAACAAAAGCTTAAGATTGATCTCTAATTAACATGCCATTATCCTAGTCCTTTTGACTACATATGGATATAAGCATATTTTTTTCTGATGAGCACAATGATATGTGGGAATATCAACAGAGAATAACAGGATTAGCACAAATGTTCATTGTACAAGATTTGAGCAGAACCATTTCTTTCCAACAGCCTTTTGTTTATTACGAGAGACTCTTCTACGACAGGAACACTATCAGGGCGTTGTTAACCTTTGCCCCCTATTTCTTTACTGCATTTTCTCAGCACTATAGCAATGTTTTATCTCTTGCCCATTTCGCACCATTATTGGTTCTTACTCGGCTATTGGACAGTAGATTTGTGGTGTTTGATGGAAAGGGCTAACACGAAACCCTTTTAACCCTTCTTACCTTGTAGCCCATCTCCCTGGTCTTCTCAGCGAGTGTGTTGTACTTTTCCTGGTTCTTCTTGATGTGCTCTTTGTCTCCTAAAGCCTCCACATGTCGCAGCTTGTGGTGGGAAAGCTCCAGCTGCTCCTGGTAATGGCTGTGCTTCTCCACCTTGGTCTCAAAGTGACGCAGCTCCTCCTAAGTGATCAAGGAAAGGAGGGCAGCAAACACAGAGGGGAGTAAGCTCAGTTCACCTTCAATAACATGCACAGTTGCGCAGGGGGATATGCATCTCAAGTAGTGACAAGGGAGGAGGAAATGTTATAGAAAAGTCTAGCTGAATGTTTCCCTGTGATACATCTGATCTTGAAGCTAGAAATCTTTAAAAAAATTGAGTTCTTCATTGTTATTCTCTGCTCATGGGACAAAGGGTGAAAGGAGCACAATGAGAGATAGGAGAGTGGAATACTTTTGCATTTCAAATGTGTAATGCATAAAATGTGATCCTCATCAAGTGCACTCCAGGCTTTATGGCTTACTATACACAAGCATTGTAAGCCAAAAAGAGCAAAAAGTCTCCAATAATTGTATTCTAAGAGTGCGGCTGCAATAAGACAATAAGTATTATCGAGAAACAAATTGGTGAAAGCAAAAGTATCCAAAAAAAAAAAAAAAACTGTCACAAGACCTACCTTGAGAGAGTCCAGCTCATCTTCGCTGAGGTTGGCTCTTTTGGCAGCCTCCCACAGTTCAATCACACGGGGCTCACGAAACTCTACGGAGGAAGAACCGACGGAGAGGAAGATGAAGGGAGAACAGTCCAAGGAGACAGTTTGGAGCCTCACCAATACGCACAAGAGGAGCAGATGTTTTATAAGATACAATGAGCTACCCTAGTTACTCAATCATTTGGTGTAGGCACACAATATGAAAGAAGACAATTGCTTGCATTTACATCTCAGCTTGAGGCGCTGTAACAGATTTCTCTTCACTTTCGCAACTCTAAAAGTACTACAAAAAAAAAAAAAACGACGTATAAGAAAGCCAGATGGAGAAAACAGGGAGGAGGAGATTAAGACTGTTTTGTGCAAGAGGAGAAAGGAAGTGAGGGGAGGATGAGAACAAGTGGTTGAGAGAGAAACAAGCTGGAGGGGAATGAGGAGAGAGGAAGTAAAGGAGTCGGTATGATAAGCAGCAGGAACATCATCTTCATCTAAACTCCCAGACAGACCTCCGCTGAAACCTGCACAACCGAGACCCCACGCAAACTCTGCAGTACACGCTACCAAAAGCAGCAGAGAATATGAGACAAGACTACCAACTATAAGAAAATGTAATCATGAGAGAGTGGTGAATGTTTTCCCGAGTTAAATAGAACAAGGAATAGCTTGTTTACTAGATGGATGCAGCAGTGTGGGCTTCTTTAAATAACCTTTTTCACATCCTTTCCATTTTAGAGATATATTCAATTTGAAACGAAAAGCACTAAACACTTGAGTTAAGCCACCAGCATATCAACACTCATCAACAGTGATATGACAGAGTGAGTGTGTTATTATGATCACAAATCCCAGTGATTAAGCTGATGAGATAAGTGTGGACTGAGGCTGAGATGGAGACAGAGACAAGCTGTGTGTGTGTGTGTGTGTGTGTGTGTGTGTGTGTGTGTGTGTGTGTGTGTGTGTGTGTGTGTGTGTGTGAGATTTCTCTCTCTCTCACCGCTGTCTTCAGTGAAGCCCTCGTGGCTGAGCTTACGGAGGCGCTCGAAGCCCTGGTTGAGGTCTCTCATTTTCTGCTTCAGGTCCGTGTGCTTCTGGTGCAGCACGTGCTCTTTGGCGTCGCCCTCCAGGGGAGAGATCACATTTTTGTGTATTTCTGTTGAGGCGAACAGACGGAGGGAAATCAGAGGAGGTGAGGAGGTGATGGGGCAGGAGTCAAAAGCCGACGGGGTTGGGTGGGTGGATTAGATGGGAGCGGGGGCAGAGGAGAGTAGAGGAAATGAAGGAGGGATGAAACCATGAGGAATAGAGAGAAGAAAGAGGCAGAAAGATATTAAAGCAATAAAAGAGGTAAAGAAACACATAATTTAATAAGTAGAATTTAGTACTAACTATAAAACATTTTTATGACAAGACTGGCTTTTTCTTGATACATCACATTTAATTTTTCATAAGAACCTTAGAGTAGCCTACGAGCTTAATCTTACCGGTTAATATGAAATAACTTTCTGTCTCACCCTAGAAAAAGGTGAGGAGGTAAAAAGCGGACAAAGGCCAACAGAACAGCGCCACACGGACTCAGTGATAATCGTTGACATTTGGATCAAAAGAAAAAAGGCAAAGCTAAGATGGAATAAGGACTACGGAACCCTGACAGGCAGTGGATGGCAGCGGTGGTGTTGTAGAGGTGCATGGAGACACCCCTCAAGGCAACATGTGATTGGCTCAATATTTAAATGCATCAGACAAGCAGAAAAACACCTCCGGCTTGCTCGGCAGAAAAGTTCTGGCAGAAAACAGCTGTGTAGTGTCAGTCGCATCCGAAGGAGACGTGCCTGTCGTCCCCACATCTATCTGAAACACAGCTCAGCTGTGTGTGTGTCAGCTCGGCTTAAAACTCACAGCTTGATGTGATGTGACAGGCCCTGATAGAGCACAGAGCGGTGGGTGGCAACACGTGCAGTCTGATACCGGCCACCTACGTTACATGACCACAAGTCTACTAACGGAGAGAGAGCTCTTCAGACATGGTGCTGATTTTTGATGGATGACTGACTTAAGCAACAGCAGAGATGGTACCAGTCAAATTAGGGCAAAAGAGGGTGACGATGTGCAATACTTTTTATTCATTTGCTTTTGAAACAGGCCTGATATATAGGGGGGGGGAAACAGGGCTTAAAGGCTCATAAACTTGGCCTCAGAAAACACCAATAAAACTAAGCCTGTGTGACACCTCTGCTTTGCAGCAGAGCAAAGGCTGTGATTCATGCAGCTCACCCTCAGTCCTGCTGACGGTATCCATGAGGATGTTGTACTCATGGATCTTGTCCTTGTGATGCTGGAACTCCCTCTTCAGGCTCAGCAACTCCTCATTGGAGAACTTCCCTGAGCTCTTGGCCTGGTGGGGGAACAGTCATTGGACAGCAAGAAATTATAAGTTAGTCTCAAAAGCAGCAGGTGATGTACAGACACATTTTAGATTGAGAAAGGTAGTGGTGGTCCAAAAAGGATCAGTGACTTCATGTTTGAGAAGGTCTAAGTGGTAATGCCTATAATATAAACATCTGAAAATCAATAAACTCAATGGGCTGTCAAAACAAAAGAATAGACCCATTTTACACCGAATAAATTGAATATTTTGCACAATAACCACCCACTAGATAAAAATTTTACATATAATTGTCATTGCACATTTTCATTGATTCTTTTTTCTTCAAGTTTCTTTTCAGTAAAAAAAAAAAAGGTAAAACTTTGCTGTACTTTCTTTCTCTACCTAACTGCTTCCTTATTGTCAAAGTTCCAAACAAAGTTGCCCAAGCTTAAGCTTTTGAAAATAATGGGTTTTTAAGAGTGCAATTACTGTGTCAAATGTAAAAGCTGCATTCAAGGATTATTGCGAGAACTCTGCAACTGTAACCTAAAAAAGCTTTTAACTTTGTAAAACATTTGATGCACCTGATCTTTTAAGTGATATTGGGTGACAATTCTTTTTTAGCTGATTTTTAGGTTCATGCCTTTATTTTATGTAACAGGTGCCAGCTGCAACTGGGAGCACTAATACTTCTGACACTACAAAAAAAGAAGGCATATAATCGAGGAACCAATTTGAAAATATACTTAAATATTTTTCTTCCTCCTCCTCCTCCTCCTCCTCCTTTGCACACATACACACCTTGTTCCAGAGTTTGTCCAGCCTGGGATCATCAAATATGTCTCCCTCTTTGGTGTCATGGTCCTTCAGGTGGTTGCTCTCCAGTGGTCGAGTGTCTCTTTTCCCATCCATTCCATACTTGGCCAGGATGACTGCACAATATAACACACAGACTATTTACTAATGCTCCAATAAATGATCCTGACATGAACCTGTAAGGACTAACAACTGAGGCTGTCATGAGAGGAAGCTGTTTGATGCACAAGAAAATCTAAAGTGACTAAGACACAAATATATTCATCATTTAAACAAGACATTTCACATCAGAAATTTCCCAGAGGCCCACAACCCTTGACAGCAACTCATTAATTCCAAAGCTACCGCACATTTTAAGAGGAACAGCAAAGGGAGAAGCATCTTTGAATGAATTAAAACTGAGCAGGCCCACAAACAAGGTTTACAGTCTGGGAATCTGACAAGAGCTCATCAAAACAAACTAACTTCACGTTTTACATAAGTAGCACACAGTGGGTGAAATCCATGGGCTTTTTGTCGTGCTGCTCCTAACCCAAAAACTTTTTAAAAGGTGAGACTGAGAGTGGAGGAAAAATACTCATTTACCCTCCCACTCAGACACTTAACACTTTACTCAACCCAAAGCATGGCAGGAGACCTGAACACACAAGAACAACAAAAGAAGACAAAATGATGTTGCCATTTCTGTGGCTCATTAGTTTAAGTTATGTACAAAACATACTGAGCAGAACAATATATATATATATATATATATATATATATATTTTAGAGGTTTAGTAAACATTTCAGATGACTACATAATAATTTAAAGTTGGACTTTGCTTTTGCTCTGCCCTCATTATTCTGCTCTAGTAAACTGTTATTGCAGGAACTGATTCAGCAACATCTCAACCTGTTGGTAACACATCAGTGTCACTTATTAACTACTGATACTTCATTAGGAGTGTGTCTACATGCAGAGGGCTAGTTTAAAATCCTCATAAACAGGATGGAAGAACTTCTCTGCGGCACTGCAGAGCTCGTATACTTCACATTTTATGGGTTCAGCTGAGGTTCTTGACCCAAGGGATCTACAATGAGTGCAAACAATAAAACAAGCTTATGTTCCTAGATCAACAACAAGCAAGGTGTCAGGTTATGTCTCAAGGCATATCAACCTGAGAGTATCAAGGAAAGGTGCTATGAAAAGAACAAGGAGAGAGACAAAATCATTTTTGAGACTGACTCAAGGAGACGACTTGATTCATTGGGGAAAAGGTGACTTGAGGTCCTCCTTGAAGATTTATATTTAGCCTACAAAAGGAGCAGAGAGTGACTCTGCCCCTCTGCCTGGAGCTGGAAGGTCACTCCACCACCGGGGAATGAGGAAGTAGAGGAGTCCAGAGCGGGTTCGACTGCAGCCCCAGGAAAGTGTCCATTGGCTGCTAGTGGCAGAATGCTAAACAGACCAGGGTACAGGGCTGGGTCACTGCCTGCAGGTACTGAGGCAAAGATCCCTTCACACATCGTCATTATACACCAGCTCCAGATTTAATTAGGACTGGATTCTAGCATTTGATTGTCAAAATGTGCCAGTCCTTTTACTGTCTTAGAACAAACAGCAGGGACAGAAGCTGTGTCTGAATCACAAATGCATTCTTCACAGTCCAAGTACATACTAAATGCCACATGCAATTGGTGCATGCAATTTAGTATCAAGAATGCAACATACATACTCTCACATCCATGTGTAAACGACACTAATTAGAGCTGCTTTGCAAAAAATCTAAACATATTTTAGCATTCATTGCAAACATAATGTTTACTAAATGAGCCCTGACTGCTTTCTACAGGATCAATAGGTGCAAAGAATCATGGGATGTTTTATTCTTCTCATGACCATGAAGTCCATAATGATATAAATATTTTTTGCCAGTGTTTCATATACAAACATACCTTTCGCAGCCTACCTTCTGATTAATGACTTGAATGATTTTAGTGCTATGTATACAGCTACAGTCTTAATTTCAAATGGAGATTTTGTTAGTGACTGTCTAACCTTGAGAGATATGAGGAATTATATTTCTTCTGAGACTTGGCTGATGCAGGGGAAAGTAACACATTAGTCATTCTACCAGCCAAAGGGCAGAGTTTATTACAACTAAGACGCAGAGCAATCTATTCCTTTGGTGTTAGTATTTCAAGTATGTAATCCCAAATGGTTCCAGCATTACTCCCCCTTTATCATAAAATATCTTATGACATAAGCTCTGACATGTTCTTGCTCCATTATTAGCTATAACCTCTTTCTCTATTATTTGGATGAAAAATACTGTATTCTTTGACTAAAGTAAAATTCAACCGGCTGTCTCAAATGATCTCTTTAAAGCACTGGCTTTAAATGACAACGCTAATGTTCACACTTGACAGAATCTATAGTGTATTAACCTTTAATCTGTCAGGAAGGTGCCATTTGCCCAGAGACAGACTGAAGTCTCTGAATACAATATGCAAGACACAAGGTTATTAAAACCCCCTGTATAAGGGAAACATCAGCATCACTATCTCATTGGCAACACAGATTTTGATTCCTAAAAATTAGACCTGACCAATGTTTTTTTTTTTCAACTTTATTTACCTATGTAAATTAGCTATATCCATGTAAACCACCTGAAGTACCATTTATGAACAAAAACACTAAAAGTTTCCATTTTGTAACATTCTGTTGGTGAAACACAGAAACAAATCAAGTTTCAGGATATTCTAGGAATTCTTCAGCTTTGGAACTGCTTGATATTTGAGGCCATTTTTTAGACCAATAGGTATTTCTGTTGACATAATTCAAGCCAACATTTCAAGCTACTACTACTAAAACTACTTGCCAAAATCCTAAGAATTTCAGCACAGATTGTCATTGCCAAGGTCAGGGACTGAATATTTAGTGCAAAGTGACTCTATAGTGAATTCAGGAAGAAGTGGTTCAAACTACCCCTGACTGCAGCAGCGGGCAGAGACTGTCTCACCATTGAAGTTACGTCGCAGCTGAGCCTCTTTCTCCCCATTTTCATCCAGCCCCTCCACCTTCATCTTCTTCCACTGCAGCTCATCTTTCTCCTGAATCTTCAGGTCACTGTGCAGCTCGGAATGCCGCACTGGGGACAACTGCATCTATCATAACCCAAACAATAGCCAAGATGACATTAGTCAGACCGAAGCAGGAAGAACATTTGAGGTCAGAGAAGGGTAAGAGAGTCAGACAGCAAAATGAGATTGAAACAGAAACAGAGCAAATACACTGTATGGGAGTGGCAAATTATGTTTGTATTGATAATTATAGGTTATTTGATCAAAGTATATCTCAGTTTCTAGCAATACTTTTATTTAGGTCTAATCCCCATTTGACCATGTTGGCTGATTTCGAGATTATAGTCTGCATTGGTCTGAAAATAGGGCAGATCACCATGGACAGTCAGCTCTAACTGAGCAGTCAATAACTTCAGTTAACACCACTCGGATGAAGGCACGATAGACAGAAACACTGGGTGAATAAAGCATGGCATACTGGAGAAGAGTAGTGCGACTTAGTTCGTTTTGATAGACATATGTGTAATATGAGTGTAACATTTAGGAGGATCTATTGGCAGAAACGGAATATAATATTCATGGGTTTCCAGTAGTGCATAATCATCTAAAAATAAGAATTATTGTGTTTTTGTTACCCTAGAATGATCGGTTTTTATCTACAGAGGGAGCGTGTCCTCTTCCTCAGACACTGGCTCCAGATAGGGTCTTTTGCGTTTTAGGAGTTTTGCAATCACAGTATTTTCGCCTACATGCTTGAAAGGCGAGCGGTATTCAGCTGGTTAAAATCTGCAACTACACCAGTAGATGCCACTAAATCTCACACACTGGTCCTTTAAAGTAAAGTTGAAAATGGTCTGACTGAGCAACTGCATTATGATTAATGTTTCTTTTTGAAGTTGTGTATAATTATTATAACATTAGTTAGAGTACTATAGTCAGTAGAATTACACACTGTCTTCCCAGATACACACACACACACACACACACACACACACACACACACACACACACACACTTTACCAACAACCCTCCAGTAACAAGCTTGGTCCCACAGCTTCTGTGTTGGAAATCCCTCATGTCCTTTACGATGAATGAACAAAGACTAACTAAACTATGCTTGAACCCCTGCATGTGTAGATATGAGTTCATCATCTCCAGCCTTTCTACTAAAACAGTGTAAGTTAAGACTGTATTTTCACATAGGCTCCTGAATATTCAGACATTAATGTAGAGAGGAAACTGCAGTAGTTAAACTAATACAGTGTGTGTCAGTGTGCTGCTGTCTGCTACAGCTTCAAACGTAAATATTACACTTTGTCTTAAATACGTACCCTCTCAGCTTTCTCCCACACCTGGTTCAGCTTGGCTATCCTGAACTCCACCGTCTGCCCATCACTGCCGCTCAGCTTGTGCTCGTTCACTTCACGGGAGTATTTCCCCGCCATTACACCGGCGCCGAAGCACAAAGCAACGACTAAACACTGAAGCTTCATTTTAAATATAATGTTACCCAACCGACGGCAGAAAAAGCGCCGAAAGAATGCTAGCTAGGCAAAAAATTAGCCGTACAACACCACAAATGTTTCTGTTGTTGTTGCTCACTGGAGTACCACAAGTCATGTGCTTAAAATGGGAGGGCACTTCCTTAAAACATGCAAACATGGGATATGTAGTTTCTTGTCTCAGCCCGTGTGTTATTAGTAAAGCGGATACGACCTTTTGTGAACTACAATTCCTGAAATGCCGCTCTGCGCGGTTACCTGGCAACGAAGGCTGCAAAGACTCTGAGCAAATAGAAAGGCTCCACGCGTTTTACAGGCCTGGATGCGGCTCTCATCCTCATGTACGGTGCTATGATGGGCTTCCCCTTATACAGCAGAGGGGTTTTCTTTGATAAGTGTGGGAGTCTGTTTGGTTTTGGTAACTGGTATTTTTATATATTTTTAAAGACTGTAACCACCAAGAAAAGTGGAATAATTTGAACCAGTTTATTTTTATTTATTATTTAAATAATGTTTTGAAGATTACTTTTGTATGTAAAGCCTGCACAAGCCTGTCTTATGTTATTTATTCGTTTTTATTATTATTATTATTATTTATTATTATTATTATTTATTATTATTATTATTATTATTATACTATTTATTTTACATATGTTATACATGCATAAATAGTTTTATTGAAGGTGATCTCTGTAATGTATTGAATTTATGTTTTAGTCTATTTTTCTCTGTTTCTCTTAATTAAGAGTTAAAAACAAAGGTAATCATGGATCATGTGATACTAATTCCTGCCTTCAACCTTATCAGATTATAGATGCAATGATATTTAAAGGACCAGTGTGTAGGATTTAGAGGCATCGGTGGTGTAGTTACAAAGTGCAATTCATTCGCTTTACCTTCACTTTACACCTCAAGTGTGCAGGAAAAACTACAGTGGCTGTGAAACACGCAAAAAACACAAACAGTCCTATTTAGAGCCAGTTTTTGTTTGTCCGTTCTGGGCTACTGTTGAAAACTGGCGGGTTATTCTCATTCTAATGCAATGAACACACAACAATTCCTATATTCAGGTGATTATACATTAATGAAAAGATACCAATGTAGGTTAGATTCCATATTTGCCAATAGATCCTCCTAAATGTCACACACTGGTCCATGGTGCCCATATTACTAGATATTTATGGGTTGCATCCAACATTGTAACTTGTCCCACACACACACACACACACACACACACACACACACACACACACACACACACACACACACACACACACACACACACACACACACGCAGTATGAAGTATATTATTCATATTCATGCCAGCCAAGCTAATTTAATTTAGTAGAAGACAGAATGAGAGCAAGCTTTTTATTATTGATCTACTGATCTGGTCGCTTTGACTAAATTATTTGTATAACGTTCATGCCAATACCCCACAATAACTGAACCAAATTCAGTTAAACTTTATTAAACTGGGAGAAAGAGAGGAGAAAGTGAGACAGAAAGACATTATATTGTACTCCCTCGTCTTGACAATATTGTTTTAGAACTTTAATGTCAATAAATCTCATTCAACTGAAACTGAATTGAATTGAACTGAGAGAGAGAGAGAGAGACACACACACACACACACAGACAGAGAGCGAGAGGATGAATAATGAACATGTTGGTGAGTGCCAACAACAATTCACATTTGCTCAACAAAAGACCAAAACACATATTTTTCATTGCAATTTTAAAACAGAAAACAAACAGAAACCCTTCATTATTTACCTGACAATAGGAATCCTATTAGAACTGTTATTTAAATTAAGATTTAACCGTAAATTACACATTGTTTAAAAACCAGTAATCACTCCGAGGCAGTAGTAAATTTAATCATCTGAAAATGAATGGATTTAATTAGGATATTAGGAAATTTGGAGACACAGTAGACGGAATATAAACAACCCAAGTGTTTTATATTCTATAAATGTGTTGTGTTATTTTACCTTGCAGTTCTATATATTCATTTTACCCATTGCTGTTATTTGCTGTGACAGAAAAAGCTGTTGACGGGATCAAAGACAAACTATGAGGACGGGAAACCTCTGTCAATTTATTATTATCTGATACACTGACTCTAAAAACAGATAAAAATGTATTGCAGGGTCTGGCAGCCAGATTGTAGCGGACATTTGTCTTAAGTGTCTTTCCTTAGAGACAGGGAGAGCCTTGTATACTCTTTTCTAAACAAGATTAATTTGTTCAGAGTCCTCCAGATTCCCAGGCTTGTGGAGATACAGTTGTTATCAACTGGTCTAACACTGGAGTAAGGGGGACACACAGGACTGAGGCAGGAGGTCTGGCTGCTTCCTGCAGTCACGCTTCCTTGGGGGTCACAGATTTCATTTGTAATTTAACAATACACAGTGTACACAGAGTTCATGGCACAGACTTTGAGATACCTCATTTGCATTATGCTATATGTGTGACTTACAATGGTCATTGGAGTAAAAAAAAAGCTTGCAGTATTGGGTCGATAACATTAGAGGAAACATAAAAATGAGAGCAGGAGGCCTCAGTGTCCTCAGAAAAATACTTATAGAAAATACTTCTTAGATCCCTTGAGTGTTATCCTAAACTTGAATGCTAATATTAAAACTCAACTTGTGGGCGCCTGGTTAGCTCAGTGGGTAGAACCGGCGACCCATGTACCAAGGCTGAGTCCTTGCTGCAGCGGCCCAGGGTTCGAGTCCGACCTGTGGCCCTTTGCTGCTAGTCATCCCCTCTCTCTCTGCCCCCATTTCCTGTCTGTCTTCAGCTGTCACTATCATAAAGGCAATAAAAGCCCCCAAAAATACTCAACTTGTGAGATCAGATAGACAAACAGTAAATGACAACCAGAGGTGGAAAGTCACTTACTCATGTACTGTATTTAAGTACTTTTTTGAGGTGCTTGTCCTTTGTTTGAGTGTTTTGATTTATTGCTTCTTCTACTCCACAACAATTCGGAGGTAAATATTGTACTTTATACTCAGCTACATTTATTTGATAACTTAGTTACTTTGCAGATTCAGATGATAACTTAGACTGCTTAGTTGGACTGCTAGGAAGATAGGAAGAGAGAAAGGCCGCTGAATGAATCTCAGACTGGCTTTTAGTCGTTGGTGAGAGCTTTGTGTTGAATGCCTTCTTGCTGTTGAACTAGTAAGAAGCTGGATCTGTATTCCATATATATATATATATATATATATATATATATATATATATTCAGGTGATTATGCGCTAATGAAAATACAACTATGAATATAATATTCCATTTCTGATAATAGACCCAACTAAATGTTACACACTGGACCTTTGAGGGCATTTTTACTTATGAGTATTTCTACACTATTGTATTGTTACTTTAGCTTAAGTAAAATAACTGAGTGCTTTTTACCTGACTTTGAGCATTTTATTTATCTGTTCTAATAATCCTACAAGCTTAGAGTCCAACCCTGTCTTCCCACATAAGCAGCTGCACTGTTATCAGATATCACATGTGGTGTTCATGTGCATATGACGAAGCACCATAAACTGGACCAAATAGCAGGTTCTTGCTTTAACGAGCAAGAGAGTCTGTCCGAGATCTGCTTTTGATAGAGCCACACTTAATGAAAGGGTCTGCCTATAAAGACAGGAGGCTACCTTGAATTGAAAAGGTCAACACCAACCAAAAGCTCTGATATTCTGTCAGGAAACAGTTTTCACTGTCACACCTGCCTCAGCATCTGACACACCTGCAGCAGCCTCGTGCACATGCATTCACACAAACACCAACAGTGTTGAAATGTGACTGAAAAAGAAGAAATTACCTTCTTTAATAAAAGAATAATTAATTTCATCTGTATATTTATTTTCCTTTTCACACATATCAGTGCCCTCAAAGTCTGACAATTTTAAATTAATGGTTGGAATATGCATCAGTGATCTACATCATCAGATGACATATAAATAAGTGGAATTCATTACATTCAAACAACACGCAGACATAAAGATGTGTTGTACTCATTATAATTAGGCAAACACCCTTCTCATAAAAGATCCAAGTGCTTTGTTTCTGGAAAACATTACAAAAGGAACAAAGGGAACAGGGATAGAAGAAAGAGTGATTGGTTCTAGTTTGCTTGTGAGTCTGCACAAATATGTGAGGGTCTCCAGAGCGGAAAGTCACGAAGGAGAAAGAGACATTAGGTCAGTGGGAGGTTGCAGCTCAGCAAACAGCCCACAGTACCATGGCTATGGGCTGACTAAACCCTGTTTGATGATGGCATCATTTTATCTCCCTTTGGCTTCCATTAGGTGGTAAGAGAGGAGCTGATAGAGGTGGGGTATGGGAGCAGTGAGACGCAGGGCAAAGACAGAGAAAGAAAGCAGGAAAGTGAAAAATGTAGATCAGCAGGTCTGTTGTCCTGTGGGTGTTTAGGAGAGTCATAATGAAATAAAGGATACATTCAATCACTGACCATGAACAAACACAGTCATTAAGACTAAGTGATTGCAATAAACAGGCTTCGATCATCTTATTACCTGTGCTTTAACTGCAGGGAACAAAAGGAGCAGACATCACATTAATGTGGCTCAAATTAGCTCCTCACTAATAAAACTTTCAGCATTTCAAAATCTTCCAACAGCTTTTTCGTGGTACTTTCAACAGCGCTGGGAACAGTTTCAGCGCATGTTATTTAAATAGCAGTTTGCCTACATTTTGAAGTAGCTTGGTGGTAGAGCAAAAAAATGTTAAAAAGTTAATGCATATTTAATGACTGCAGATATACCAACTATTTTTGCTGATAAAGGAATAGAAGAAAATAATTTTCCCTCACCAGTTATTTTTACTTACATTTCCCCTTTTAATTGTCACAAACCAGATGAGCCCTCAAACCTCTGAGTTACAAACACTAGATTATTCTTTACACATTTTATAAAAAATAAATGTATTGGGTTGTTTGGCTGATCAGATTGCTGATTCTGGCAAAGGGAAACTAATAGAAAAAATGGACATTACACAAAAAATATACAGAACTTCAATGAATGCAGTGGTGGAAGAAATACTCATTTATTCAGATTATCATAATGTAAAGAGTAAAAGTACTCGCT